ACATTTGTGTGAATAACATTATATTTTATTTAATAAAAAATTATCTATTTGATATCTGAAAAATATTTTTTTATTTGTTAATATATACCTATTTTACTCACAAAATAATATAACTTAATTGAGAATAAAAAAATGATCACCAAGTTCAGAAATGTTAAAATATTATCTTTAATAATTTACAGAAAATTATTTTAATTAAATCTTAAACCGTTACATTAATATCCAAAATTTACATATTTTTATGAACAAATAAAAAAAAATAAACAAAACTAAAATATATTTTCCAATAACAGAGAGCTTATGTATTCTAACAAATGGGAGTACAGAAAAAGTCAAACAGAAGCCCCAACTGAGAGCCGGGCCTCTGGCTGGAGGTGCCCACGCCCGAAGTCCAAACTATAAAAACCATGTAAACCTCCGACACAAACCTCCCTCAAAATCCCCCATATGCTGTTGTACTTGGCGGCCATTTTCGCTTCCCCAATCCGCCGTTTTCCTACTTCCTCTCCTCGCTTCCTCTCTAACACTTTCTCTTTATTCTCTTTCTCGTTCTCTTCCTCATCCCCGGCTCCCATGGCGACCGTTCATCCCAAAGACCAAGCTTATCTAGATAAAACCATCCCCAAGCGCATCGACTTCTTCGAGACTATCAAATCGCAGCAACTCGCTCATCTACAGTCCCTCTCCCATGATCCCATAAAGTATCGCATTCTTCCCCTTGTATGTGACCAAGTTTTAATTATCTGTTTTCTCATGCCTCTTAATATTTGTTTGTGTTATTTTTTAGGATTACTTTGCCAGATGGAAGTGTGAAGGAAGGCAAGAAATGGGTCTCTTCTCCTTTGGACATTGCCAAGGAGATCTCGAAGAGTTTGGCCGCCAATTCCTTGATTTCTTCTGTCAATGGGGTGCTGTGGGATTTGACTAGGCCGTTAGAAGGGGACTGTGAGCTTAAACTCTTCACATTCGAAAGCGACGAAGGCCGCGACACTTTCTGGCACTCCAGTGCTCATATTCTTGGGCAGGTACTATATTATGGTTTGCTTTGAAACTGGAAAATTTTGTGTGGTTTCATAATTTAGGTATTTGGGTTTAATTGGGGTTTATGATGGATCTACTTTATTGTTTCTGTTGATTTGGTTGTAGTCTCTCGAGGCCGAATACGGTTGCAAGCTCTGCATTGGGCCCTGTACCACCAGAGGAGAGGTATTCCTTTATGTTTTAAGCGTCCTCCTTTGATATTTTTTCCGAGTGCAGTCTAAATATTTCTTGGTGCTTCAGCTGCATATATAAGCGAACTTGAAACTCTGGAAGTTATTTTTTCTTAATTGTTGGGAGAGATAATGATAATTGAAAACCCCGTTAAGTCTCCCTTGTATTTTCTGTTTTAAGACCGTGTTTGGACAAGATGTCTTGTAAATAATATTGTAAAATGTTCTCTTAACTATTGCAATTTTGTTTTGTGCCTTTCAAATATATCTGCATTTGTCATGGTCCTCAATGTTATATCTAAGAACTCAATTCCTTACTAGTTGGCTAAATGCTTTTACAGGGTTTTTATTATGATGCATTTTATGGTGATTTGGGCTTGAATGATGATCATTTCAATCAAATTGAAGCGGGTGCACTAAAAGCTGTTTCGGTATTTTTCATCTCCTGCAAAATGAATGATAAATCTTACTTGTTTGTATCATTAAAATTTACCTGCTTTAGCTAGCTCTATTTACAATTTGATATATACACCATGTTTGGGAGTTTAAGGAAGAAAGTGAAGTAAGATTTTAAAGTAAGGTGGAAGAGGTGTTTGGAGTTAACTATAATAGGCAGAGGGAATCTTTTAATCCCATTTTATTTCCTTGACAGGAGTAAAGAAAGGTAGATATATGCTAAATATGGCATGCACATATTTTTTTTATAAATTTTGGAAACACATAAATATCTTTTTTTGTTAGAAAATATGTTATTCTTTTTGAATGTAAGTACTTAATTTCATTGAAAATATAAGATTGATAAATTGTAGAACCTCTTTAGTCCCCAACTTTGGTTTGGCTAATTGAGGGTTAATAGGGTACTTTGCCTTCATTAGCTCTTTATAAGGGTATGGAATAGGATTATTATGAAAGCTTATCTTACTTTTCTGTTAGGATTCTAGTTAGCACTTAATCAACAACTTCTTACGGCTAGACTTTTTTGAGATAAAAGTGAGTAATAGTATTAAAAAAAACGCTGAGAGGGCAAAACCCATGTATAAAAAGTTAAATATTTATAGATCGGTAAGTATATTTACAATGAACCCTAAATCATCAAAAGAGTTAGGGTTATGGTCAAGGATGATGGAGCCAAAAAAATGAAGCCACCTATCCTTAATAATGGCAAAATTTGGTTCTTTACCCTAAAAAATCCTACAATTCCTTTCTTTCCTTATAACCCAAAGTATTGTTAAGGGAATAACCCTATGCCACCTATTACAAGTTTTGAGGCCTTCCCAAGCTAACAATTTGCTTTTAACAGATCCAGCCATAACTCAGGAAACACCAAGCAGCTTGTAAATCATTGTCTATAGTTCATAGGAAGTTAGACACAAAAGGAGAAGATGGTTGCAAGACTCCATATTCTACTTGCACAATGCACTCCAGTTTGCCAAAAGAAAACCTCTTTTCATAAGTTTGTCTAACGTGAGAATAGAACCCATAGCAGCTTCACAAGTAAAGACAAAAATTTTGGGAGGAACAGAAATATTCCAGATGATTTTGAAAGAAAAATCAGAGATAAAATAATTGCTGTCTATTAAATTTCTGTAAAGAGATTTAACAGAAAAAGAGTCATTATTGCAAATAACTTAACTTATCAGCTTTATTACCCATTTTGACAGTAGCTAGAAGTTGGAGAAGGTTTTCATATTTTTCTAACTCTCAATCTTTCAAATTCCAGGTGACAGCCACATTCCAAGATAGAGAAAAACTGATTTCATAAACATTTTCCAAGAGGATATCTTTATTTCTAGTAATAGCATAAAAGTGAGAAAATTGGTTTTGGAGATTCATTTGACCGCACCAAACATCTTTCCAAAACCGGATTCTGTCGCCTTTTCCAACCATCGGTTTGGAATTGTTTAGAACCAGTTTACTAGATTTTCAAATACTCTTCCAAAGGTTGAGACCAACCGTATTCTTCTCCATACCAGCAAGATCATACACTTTGTTGCCAAACCATTTGCACACAATGACCTCCTCCCAAAGACTGTTATTTTCATTCCAAAACCTCTAAATCCACTTACCAAGCAAAGCTTTGTTGAGGCCAATAATGAATTTAATGCCTAAACCGTCATCTTTCTTCAGTTTCTTTAGCTGTTCCCAGTTAACCAGGTGAATCTTTCTATTCAAATCATCATCTTCCCAAAAAAGTGACATTGAATGGCTTCAAGTCGTTTAGCAACATTCTTGGATATAGTGAGGATCGAAAGATAGTAGATAGGAAGATTGAATAGGGTGCTTTTGATTAGAGTTAGTCTCCCTTCTTTGGACAAATATTTATTTTTCCAACACGCCAGTTTGTTTTGCAACGCATCAATGTCCAACTCCCAACTCCTGCTATCTTTTGTTTGGCACTAAAAGGAACACCCAAATACTTTAAGGGAAGTTGGGCAGGTTTGCAGCCAAGTGCTTTAGTAAGAAGAGCATCTGAATTCTCCCCAAGCATAATCAATTCAGATTTTACCATGTTGATTTTGAGGCCAGATACTGCTTAGAAGCATAGTAAAATGCATTTAAGATGAAGAATATTCCGGACATTGGCCTGACAGAAGAAGAGAGTGTCATCTGCAAAGAATAAGTGAGAAAATTCAAGTTGATGACTAATTTTTTCCACAAAAATATCTCTCAACAGTCCTGAGGCTCTAGCTTGCGACACAAGTTTGTTGAGTGCTCTCATGAAAATAATAAATAATGTGGGGGGAGAGGGGATCACCTTGTCTTAAATCCCTGGAAAGCTTAAAGAATTTAGACGGGCCACCATTGATCATCACAACAAAACATGTGGTAGTAATACATTTCTTGATCCAGCATCTCCGTTTGAATCCAAACCCGAGATTCTCAAGCATATGATCAATAAAATCCCAAGAGACACTGTCAAAAGCTTTCTCCATGTCTAATTTACGTAAGACGGCTCTTCTTTTATTTTCAACAACATCATCAACCACTTCATCTGCCATAAGGATAACATCAGTAATTTGACGCTCATAAACAAAAACTTGTTGATTTTTTCCAATGATCGAGCCAATGACTTCAGACAATCTATTCGTCAACTGTGTATCTTCAGTTTTATTTCAAATTTATATGTATCAGTGTATTGTCGAGTGTGTTTATTTTATTAACCAGTCTGCTGTTTTATTACTGAGTTACAGATTACTTGTATGTTTGAAATACACTTGTCAGACTTGCTATTCTTTAGGAGCTGTTACAAGCAATTATCTCTTTTCTTGTTGTAAGCTATATTAGGCTGTTCTAGAATGAATAAAATATGCAGAGAAAATTAAAAAGTTATTTGAATCCTGGAGATCATTGTCTCTCTGACAAGCCTAAGCAATTTAGTCAAGCTAGGTCAGGAAGTGAGAAAGAATCAGGAGCATTCTGGTATTTCTTAGTTCATTTTTAGTGTACTGGGACCTACAACCAGATCTAGAGGCCATGAGCTACCAGTGTGGTCTGAAAGCTGGTGTTTATAGGTGATCTACGTGTCATGAATTAGCAGGAAGAATTAATAAGAAGAGTGTTAGTCATTGTTAGTCAAGTTTGTTATTGTTTTTTTTTTTGAATTTCATAGCTATCCATTTGGTCCTTCATGGCAGACTAGCCTTTATGCACACCTGTAGGTAGTACAGCTGGTTATGTATGGTGCCAATGCACTAGCTCCGGGAAAGCTAATGAGAAATTACCTCTGCATTCTTCCCTAAGTCTCTCAACTCTCTCCATGTCTCTTCGGTTATTCTTCTCCTTTGTTACTACTGTCTCTTCTCTATTATTCTCTCACTGATGTCATACCACTCTCAAGGCCAGGCTTGACTGACTCATGAGTTAGTGGTCTGACACTATGATCCTTCCATCAATAATTTGTCCTCTCCCTAAGTTTACTAGCATTTGCAACGCAGAATAGTTTACGAGATGAATTATCAAACAAATCTATGTACTGGACCTCTAGAAGGCAGGAGCAGTGTTGGGTAAGGAAGCATTAATAGAGGCAAGATAGAGAAGGTCTAGGGGCTGAAATGCATCGAGCATTCCCATTGTCCTAATATATTCTAAGTTGTATTTTTCTGAGCATGACGAGAAGAGATACACTTTTACGAGGGACTAATGGGTGTGAATGTTTCATTAGACACCAGCACATACAGACTCAGAAGAAAAGGTGGGTTGGCATCATTCTATTTGGAAGGAGATGCTTAATTGTGGTTTGTGAAACTGAAAATAGATAGGCCAGCCCCTTGGTGCATATTTTTGTTCATGGGTTTGCACCCCCTTGGTGCTTGTAGTTAATGATACTTTATACTTTTTATTTCGAAAAAGGACAGTAGTTAGGCTACCCATTTCATGGGGTAGTTTTAAGCGTCAATGCAACTTTCACTTTTGGCCTCTTGTATGAAGTAACAAGTTTGGAGAATGGTGGAGTTGAGGCAAACCAGTTTAATGGAAGAATAATTGTGCCAATTTGAACAATTGGCAGCATGAGAAAGTTCTCCCACTCTAGATCAAGAGGTTGAACTTTTTCTAGACAGGGATCGCACCATAAGAGGCATTTCAGGTTCTATTGGTTCCGACTTTATCATTAAAATAGTGGTCCGAACTTTAAAGAGGACAAGCACCTTGGGGAGGATAGGAGTAATGTTATCATCTGAGTCAATACTTGGTTTCCTAATATAATTTTGGTTTATCTTCATGTTTCATTTCAAATATAAATGTGTTAGTTCATTTTATGAAGTGTGTCAATTTCATTAGGCAGTTATTATTTTCATTTACATGTTGTGAGGGGTGGATAATCACAATTCATGATGTTTAGCAGAGGGGCAGATTTTGGTGAATGAATGCTATTTGTGTAAGGGACCAGTTGGGATTGGATCATTTACCATTGTGGTGCTCCTATCATTGCCTGTGGTGCATGATTCTCCACTTCTTGAATTTGAATTTGGTTGTTGCTGGGTCTATTCAAGATGAGCTTTGGGTTGGCCTGGGTGTCTGGGGTGACAAGAAGAGGAAAAAATTAACCTCTCTTATCCCTTTGACCTGTCAACTAATTATCTGGAAGGAAAGGAACCATAAGGCTTTGAGGCGGATATTTTTTTTCCCCCACCTGGACAGGGTTAGCGACAGTTCAAGAGAAGACAGGGTTAGAGACTCTTAGCTATAGTTTAAACCTTGTCTTTTTGCTCAATGATCATCTTCTTCATGCTAATGAGAAATTAAGAGATCTTATTGATACATTTGTACATCAACTGTAAATTCTCTTGTACCTGATGTTGCAAAATGGAATAGGGTTTAGACAAGTAGAAAAAATATAAAAAAATAAAAGATAAATTCAATTCATAATCACAGGGATTTCATAACTACAGCCACAATCACAAGGACAATGTTGTTAGGCACTCAATTCAAGTTGAGAAAATATGTAGTTTAGTTCAGCAGTGTTGGAAATAATGATGAACCAACCAGGTAAAAATAGGTATAAAAGGGTTAAACAGCCAGAAACATTCCGGTATTCTGAGTCTGATTTTACTGTGAAGGGACCTATAAGAAGGTCTGGGAGAGGAGAATACCATTCATCGTCCTCTGAAACAATGTTCTCCCAAACACATTAGTAGTAGCCTTTGGCATCCATAACTGAAGTGCGGAGAAGCATCCTTTCTTCTTCCTCTCTATTCTCTCTTGCTCTCTCTCTCTCTTTCTCTCTCTTTTTTCCTCTTTGTGCTCTGTGCCCGTGTTTGGTGTATGTGTCTGTTTCTCATACTCACAAGCAATCGGGTCAAATCAGGAAACAATTTCCCATCACGGGCAAGTTCGTGGGGTTCATTTCAGCAGTGGGCATTACATAATTTGGATGTTTCTCTTTCTTGCTAGTTGTTATTGGTCAGGAGCATTGAGTTTTTTCCAATTAGCAATAACTTGTTATTACATTTGTCAGGAGAAACAACCTTTTGACCGTATTGAGGTGACAAGGGAACAGGCACTTGAGATGTTTTCTGACAATAGTTTCAAGGTGAGTAAGCTGCTTGGCCTTACACGATGCAACTTACTTCATCACAATAAAACTGTTCCTATCTACTCTCGAGATTTCAATTTTCATTTCCTGCTTTGTGGTACATTTCTTATTAGATCCTTTTTTGACTGTTATAACCAGGTTGAAATCATCAATGATTTGCCTGCAGACAAAACTATCACTGTATACAGATGCGGACCATTGGTTGATTTATGTCGTGGGCCCCATATACCAAATACATCATTTGTTAAGGCATTTAAGTGTTTGAAGGTGATGTTTACATGATGTGCTAGAAACATCTGCATGGTTTCGTGCGTATATATTGCCTGGTTAACTATAGTGGTTTTCAGGCTTCATCAGCTTACTGGCGGGGGAACAAAGATCGTGAGAGCTTGCAAAGAGTTTATGGGATATCTTATCCTGATCAGAAACGTTTGAAGGTGGATACATAACCAGGCATTTTGTTGTGTTGCTGTTATATGTGCTCTTTGATTCTGGAAAAATATTACTATCTTCTTAATTTTATATATTATGCAGCAATATATTGATATGCTCGAAGAAGCCAAAAAATATGACCATAGACTGTTGGGTACAAAGCAGGAGCTCTTTTTCTGTCATCCACTTAGGTATGGTCCAGGGGAATATGCTTAGTACTAGTTCCTGTATGCAAAAATCTTTTTTTTTTTTTGAGATAATGTTCCTGTTTGCAAAATCATCCAAACATGTTCCAATATGTTTCTGAATTTCAGCCCTGGAAGCTGGTTCTTCCTTCCACATGGCACTCGAATCTACAACAAGTTGATGGAATTCATAAGAAAGCAATATTGGGAGAGGGGATACCAAGAGGTTAAATTTAGTTATGATTGTTTTCAATATCCTACATATTCCCCCAGTATGGATTGTTAAATCACCTGTCATTGGCAGGTCATTTCACCTAATATGTACAATATGAATCTCTGGGAAACATCAGGTCATGCAGCAAACTACAAGGAGAACATGTTTTTGTTTGAGGTGAGGCTCTGTATTAATATTATAATCACATGTAGAGGTGATGTTTTCCTGTATGTTTGAATGAGTATGGTCTTAGCTATGGAGGTAAGACTATCAGCTTCATTCTTTTCATTTTGGAGGTGCATATGGGGGTATGGGTTCTCTTAAACTGGTTTTGAAAATGTTAATTAAAGAAATTGAAACTTAACCATAATAATCTTTGTTGAGGGTGAAAGGTGGTAAGAATTGGGTGATAAACAAGTTTTGTCTTATAGAAAGAAAATACATTATGAAGCTTACTTTAAATGTTACCAGAACTTGTTTAGGAGGAAAGAGGTAGGAATTATGAAGAACTTGTTTGGGGAAGATGTAGTGTTATTTGTTACAAGGACTTTATGTGAACATAATTGTTTTTTCTTTTTGAAATAAAAAGTGTCAAATATGTATTAGTAAGGTACCAAAAACGGGAGTACCGCTCATATACAAAATTTACAATAAGGTTAGAGAATCAATGACAATCCCAAAATCCACATCTTCAATAGTATCATGCCCTAATAAGATAGATCCAAAATAATGCAACCACCTATCTTTTAACCTAATCATGCTACTAACCTAACTATCAAATACTCTACTATTCCTTTATTTCCATATGACCCAAAAAACTGTCAATGGGATCGTATTAGCTAACTTATTTTTTACATTTAAACCATCACAAGCACATATCTCAAACCCCCGTTGAGCCCGCAATAACCCAATTAATGCCCAGAGACCCATAAATAAAAGACCATAAACCATAAGGCATAGGACACCACAATCATAAGTGGTTACAAGTTTCCTCTGCCTTCAAACAGCAATAACACCCATTCACCAGAATGCAGCCTTTGTTTCTAAGCTTATCAGTAGTTAAAATCTTCTCCCAGCAAGCCTCCCAAGCAAAGAATATGGGATGGTGAGGGATGAGGGGTCACGGATGATGCTGACTTGCAATTTTGTATTACTTAACACATCTATGCATTCAAGTCCAAATACATTAATCTTTTTCCTTTTATACTCTTCCTATATTGTTCAAAGTATAAATGCAGTTCAAAGAATCAATTAAACTGCAATTAGGACTTTGAATAATGTAGAGAAACCATATGTTTATCTTGATCTGGTCTACGGCTATGAAGGAAAATGGTCTATCATTTCCTAGGTGTTTATACAAAAAGACCATATATATTGGGGGCCAGATCTTAATTTGTATATTGCATTTTTTATTGTCTCGGATAGGTTTTCTATGAATTGTTACCTAAAATAAAATGATATGCGCATATTGTGCTATATGGTTGTCATGTTCATGATTGTATATGATCTATCACTCGGATAGGAAGGTTAAAATATTGAATAATGCCCTATACATATATAGATGAAAATAATGGTTTGGAATTCTAGCTTTTTTTTTTTTAAATATGTTTATACAAGAGTATGTTTATGTTTTGCCCCATCCATAAAGGTTAAAGCTCGTGCACCCATGTATGCAGTTCTTGTATCAAATGCATTCAATCTATTTTATTTTATTTTATTTTTGAGAATGCACACAAACTATTTTGTTAAATAATGATGGATGACAAGAAGGGCTTACTTGAGAGGAAATAAAAAAATTAATGATGCTGTATCCTTTATAAATTTATTCTCCTTAACTAAAAAATGTAGGGCATTTAAACATAACGTTACTTTTCATGCTTCAAGAAATTCTGCTTCTCATTTTTTATTTGCCACCTTGATATTTTGTTTCTGGACAGATTGAAAAACAAGAATTTGGACTCAAACCAATGAATTGCCCAGGACACTGTTTAATGTTTCAAAATAGAGTTCGTTCATACAGAGGTACGTTCGTTCCAACAGTATTTTAATGTCTATGTTTAGCAAGTCTTAATAATGGTTTTGGGTGAACCAAGACTAAGGAAAATAATTATCTAAAAATATCCTGTGGAGTTTATTCCCATGATTATGCTTTGATGCCACTTCATGCATCTAGTTATAGCTTGCCAAATGATTGTACAATTTCAAACTGTATTATTGGACTCTGTTGCTTTCTTGATCAAAGCATCTCAGAGCTTCTGTTACCATTCTGTATCATGCAAATTGGTAGTTCTCTCTTACTTCTTGCCTTTTGGCATATGTTTAGGCTGATAAAATTCTTTTCTTAGGAAACTATAAAGGCCAAATACTTGGTAGCTAGTGAAAATTGATTGTGGATAAGATTTGGGTGTTGTAAGATATTAAAGCCTGCAACTCCAGGAAGAAGCTCATTTCTCTCATTCCAATAGCACACCTGTGGTTTGGAGAAGGAAGAGGAGGGTATTTGACGACATTTTGTTGCCTTTTGCTAATACTAAAGATTATTGGTTCCAATAGATTAATTCATTTTTATTTTTAACATGTAAATCTCTTGTATATGTGTGACATTCCCCTTGGTGCCCTATTTATATCATATCTCTTTTTTCTTTAAAAGTAAATGATAGTAATAAAGTTTAGTAATAGTGGAAGTCAATGGCATTCTCAAGTTTTTTGAAGTGGGGTTTTTCCTTCAACTACATTCTGGTTCTCTTCTATTTGGTATATTTGGAAGCTCTAATGCCCTAATCAAGTTCCATAGGCTAAATCAGTTCACATTTTCTTCTCTTAAAATTTTTTCATTGTCTAGCTTTCATTTTTGAACCCTAGGAAAATATTAGTGGTTTGTTTCTCTGCAGTTGTGGTGTTTATTTTTCTCAACATAATCTCTTCTCTCAAACTGGGTCAGATGAAGTTCAAATTTCACCAAAACGTAGTAAGTGGACGTTATTTTATTAAGTTCAAGACCCTGAGTGGGCCTCAACAAAGCAAGTTAAGATAACCAATTCAGCCCGAAAAAAAAGAAGAAACTAAGTCAAGCTGAGAAAGGCAGGTGGATCGAACTAAGTGGAAATGGACTGCAAAGAGAATGGAAATCCTGGCTTTTGGAGAACAGAAAGGGCTCAGGTTGAGAATTGAGGAGAATAGAGGGTGCGGTGCTTGTTGTTATGTAGAGGAGGTGGTGATGATTCTGGGACATCCTCCGACAAGGACGATAGATACAGAAGCAAAGGAGAGAGTAGCGGGAAGGGGAAGGATATGAGTTGGTTATGCAATCGGGGTAGGAATGTGGAATGGAAGTATTTGAGTAGGATAGCATCGGGAATGTTAGGGAGGTGGAGTTCGAGTCATTGGTGGTGATCTCGGTTGATGTTAGTGCGATGGAGGAAGTTATCGAGGAGGAAGAGGGTTAAATATAGGAATCTCTGTTGGCTGTTGAAGGGGTGAATAACGAAAATGGAGGAGGTATAGGGAAGAAGGATGCTGCCACATGGGTCCTTCAAAATATTCAAAGTATCATCAAGCTGCTAGGAGTAAGTTTTGAAGGTCTTGATGAGCACGCCATAAATTTGTTCAAGGAGATTGAAAGGAGAAGGAAGGAAAAAGGGTATGCAAACTCTGCACTATCTGCGGCTAATAAAAAATAGGGGTTGGACAAGTTCAGGCAATTGAAGAGGCTACAATACACAATTAACTATAATAAGGGGGAGATGAAGGGAGAGAGGTAGAGAAAAAATTTGTCGTTATGATAGGGCACATTATCTCTTGGAATGTAAAGGGATCAATGATCATACAAAGAGGTTAAGAATAAAGGGGTGCATGGTGAGGTGGAAACCTGGGGTAATCTGTCTCTAGGAAACTAAAGTAAGCTTCTTATCCGATAAAATGACTCACAGTATATGGAAGGTTAGAAGATTGGTCAGAGTAATGGGGCTCTTGGTGTGATTATAGTCCTGTGGAATAAGGATTCTATTTGGTGGGTTGATGTCTTGGTTGTGGACTGTACCATTTCAAGCTTACTTGAGAATAGAAGAATGTGGCGGTGGGTGTTCGCTGGAGTATATTCAGAAATGAGTGTGGGGAAAGTGGTAATTTATGGGAGGACTTCGAGAGTATAAAAGAAACTGGGAGGTCCCATGGGTGGTTGGAGGTGATTTCAACATAGTTTTGCATAGATGAAAAGAACATGGGATAATTTTGCTAGGATTTGTCTTGAGGAGTTTTGAGGGATTTTGAATATACTTGATTTAGTGGATTTGCCTTTAGCGGGAGGCAAATGGACTTGGTCTAATAAGTGATCAAAACCAACTTGCTCTAGGATTGATAGATTCCTTGTATGGTTGAATTGCCATGCTTTGGTTT